TATTGATCATTAAATAGTATGTGCTTACTGTTGAACAAATATTTTTTGAACAATAATGTTGAGTTAAAACCTTGTAAAGCCAACATTCAACAAGTTAAAGAATAACCAAGCAGAAATCCAAACGGAGAAGCTTCAAGAGCACATTAGATCTTAACCATTTAAGGCTATTATTTAAATCTCATGTGCCAATGTGTTTTAGCATTTGGGAAAATTGAATTATATGAAGATGAAATAAATTAAAACAATTCATCTTCATCATATAACCTGAATCAACAATCTTGGACATTCGTACATATAGGGAGAAAAATAAGAAGAAAAAGAGTTACAATGATTTTGCCAACCTCATTTACTGGCTAATGATTGGCCCTTAGGTTCCACTAAATCAAAGCAGTGAAATTTCTGAACATAAATCCTTCAACAAACCTCTACTTAAATTTAAAGTTTTAGGCAACTTGATGTGCAATTTAATCATTATTATAAAATGCATAAAATTTAAAATTTATAAAATGATTTCACTGGAAAAATATAATTCATAATAAAATGGTGAAATCAGGTAAACCCACAAGGAAGAATGATAAAACCAAGTGTCAATTGGATTATTTGAAAGTTGATGTCAAATTAAAATAAAATAAAAAATAGATGAATAATAGAGGCTAATTTGATATTTTGGGGCTTTATGTTTATTTATATATATTAAAGCAGTTTTTAAAAAATACAATTTAAATTTTTTATTTTGAAATTTTTCTATAAAGAAAATGGAAATAAATACTTAAAAATAAGCGTCGTTGACTGGTTCAACGTTTATCTACGGAAGGAGAGAGCACTCTGGTTTTGTTAGGGCACGTGGCCCAATAAGAGAAAAGGGGAAATCAGAGAGAGAGAGGATCATTTGGGGGAGAACAGGTGGCGGAAGCTCTTCCGCCGGCGGTGCTGATAGACGAAATCCTGCCAAGGAAAACACTAAATAGAACACTCCTAGGATTTCATATCGTAAAGAACCAAGTCCGAAATCCGAAAACACATGAACCCTGATCGATTGAATAGCAAAAAATTAACAAAAATAGTAAAAATGAAAGTAAAACTTAGTTTCTGGTCTGTGGCTTGATAAATATCTGGCGTCTCAAGGCCGAGGCTAGAAATTGAAGTCTCTGGTGCACGCCCTGATCACTCATGGAGTCTCCGCGCTGATTCCAGGAGTGGATGCACAGCTTGATCCACCCGATGGAGCTCTCTGACGCTCCAATGGATGCCCTTGATGAGGCCAACGTCCGTCACCCGCTGGGAAGGGGAAGAGGATGAAATTGATCTCCGGTGTAGTTTTAGAGCTTCCCAAGACTCAATGCCGTATTGAGGATCGGTCTGCAGCTTGAATATACCTCTTGCGACCTTGTGTCGAGGCAAGAGGCGGATCCTCTGACCGCTGTCACGTAGGAGAGGAATTCACGGCCACCGTAGTCGCCGTGAGTGTCGCTGCCGCCGTGCCGAGCTCTTCCTCTTCCTATCATGAAGAAGGAGAGCTCATAGCACTGCAGGTCGCCGCGAGCGCCGCCATCGCGCTAAGTTCCTTAGCCCATCACGCCGAAAGGGGCCATCCGATGTCTTGCCCTAGCTCTGCCTCCTTTTTGGCCTGAAAACCATCGAGGCAATGAAACCGTTCCCGAACAGGTTTCTGTTTCAAATTTGCATTTCTCCTGATCGTTTCGATACTCAATAGAAATCCTTCTTAAAATTCCTCAACTCTCCATGAATTCAGGAAAAATCTAGGAACTTCAGAAAAAAAAAAACGGAAAATTGAAGGAAATGTCTAGAAAAATCCTAAAAGTTCATAGACGGTGATTAAAGTCCTGGAAATCAGATTAAGAAAGATTCAACTTTTAATTCAATAATTAAAATGAAATCTTATGAATGTAAATGACATAAATTAGCATGAAATCCATAATAATGAGTCAAAACACATTTTTCTTGATACCTCATAACCATGTAATTTTGTATGAATTAATAGAAAAATTATAAAGATATAAAATGAATTAACACATAAAAATATAGCATTATCACAACCCAAATATTTCCTATAAATACATCATCTAAATTCACAACTATAGAGGACCAATAGATATAAGCATCTAACTAATATCATCAAGAATATGGTTCTAGGAGGCCAATTAAATTATCATTTAGCTAAACCTTCTAGATTTATAGTAAGGGGAGTATTATACTTTTTTGTCTTTTTCTATTTTTTGTCCTATAACATATTGCCTTTTAACTCTCTCTCTCTCTCTCTCTCCCTCCCTCCCTCCCTCTCTCTTTGTCTCTCTATTTTTGTCTTAAGTCTACTCCTTTTTTAGTGTTCATAAAACACACAATTTTGAAAGAAATCAGCTCTAAAGAAAATATTTTAAGTTAGAACTTAGCATTTACAATGCAATTAAACATTTGCAAGGGGAGGATGCTTGAATAATTATGAATGTCAAATTATTATTGCACCCTTGAGTAAAATTTTCTTCATATTTAATACTTACTCTCATCTATTGTGTTTGATTTGATGGATAAGGTATATCATATCATAATTTATCATACTACCATTTTTAGTGTCTTTCTCATTATGAGTTTAAAAATTTGTTGATGCCTTAAGTTTTGATATTACATTGTGAAATTTTATTATATATTTATTGAATTTCATGTATGATGAGAACTCATGTTAAATATTTACTACTTCCAAGATTATTTAATATGTATGATATTTAATGATCTTGTGATCTTATGGCTAACAAGTAAATCTAAGGAGTTAATCATTGAGATTAATTATTTTTTTATAAATATGTTGGAACTATTTTTGAAATACGGCATCTAAGATTCTTTACATCAGCACATGAAGTTTAATATCAACTCACTTGAGAAAATATTTGAAAACTCACAAAATATCAAAGTCATATATGAATCTCAAACCTAGAATCTAGATAGTGACATGTTTGTAGCTTATGTGAAAATAATGATGGATCAAATGTGTTTATCCCCACTTGACTTCAATAATAAGATTGCTTATTGACAATAAAAAAATTAATTCAAATTTCATATCAAATATATGAGATAATAGAGAGTTTCATATCACAAACAATATAGAGGTTGTTGCCATGTATTCTAGACAACAAGAAGATTTTTGAAATTGGTTGACTATTTTTCAAAAACTAAAAACGAAATATCTCTCATACAATTATCTACGAATCTCTCTTTAATCACTACAAGTTTCAACAAAGTACATCATGTTGCATCTGATCTTCATTTGACCTTGATGATCTAAACAACATCCATCTCAAAGGTAGACACTCTCTATCAACTCCTAAAGTATTTGTGTTGTGAGTGGAGTAGTATTTGGTAAAAATATGAGTTGCTTGGTTGAGCCTTTGAAAGTGAAATCTTTGAGAAGACATAACTTATGCATTTCGGTGGTTGATATCATGAAAATCAATGTATCTATGAGAGAAAAAGTAAACTGCAGCATGAATGATCTTCTAGAACTGGAAGCAATCAAGTGAAGGAAGAACTAATATTAAAAGTTTTGGTGTTCTTAATGGTAAAGAGAAAGACTTGAGAAAACCCACATTGAGAGAGAGAGAGAGAGCTATGAAAAGATTAGTGTCATCACATCTATTGATAGACAATTCACCCCCTCCCCCCATTGGTATTTCACCAATTCTAAACTAATAGAACCATTCAACTAGATGAGTTGAGTCACTTTTTCATAACAAAAGGAGGAAAACTTTTGGGTCATGCAATTAATTTTGAACTCTCATGGTTTATTAAGGGTTTGGAAAATATTATGTGATTTCTTTTCTAATTTCAGCATAATTATCACTTTACCCTTATCCCCACTTTGTTATCATCAAAATTAAAAATCCTAGAAAGTTAACAAATTCATGTTTTAAGTTTATGAGCACAAATCAGATCTTGAGATTAAACACAATAGAGTGTCCAAGTTTTTTTGCTTGAGAGATGCCTAACCCTGATTTTTGAATACTAAGGAAGGTTCCCTTACGACCAAATCAATGTGATGCATTTCATTATTTTTCTCTAATTTTAAATTATTATTTACTCAAATATTTTTGTATATATATACACTAAAGAACAAGGAGAAAGTTGTCACATGTGCTCATACCTTCTAAAGAGTTTGTTGGGGAATCCTTCACTATGATAAGTTTCATCCTTTTAAATACGACATTGAATTTATCTCCTATTTTGCCCATTGTTGATAATAACTTATTTTTGGGGTATTCTTGTACGTTAAAAGTTAGATGAGTGTACGGTTTCCCACGAATCTATCTACTCTCATGGGTGTTTTTCCACAGAAAGTTACTCATCAAAATCAATAACAGAAAATCTCTCTTGTTATTTATTTTAATGGTAAAAACTATTTGACCATATAATCAGGAGATTGCTGACGATATAACGAGTTCGCGAAATATCGTTAATTCTCGCCGCCCATGTTGCCTGCGGATAATCGGTGGGAGTTGCTTCCAGAGCAACAGGAGCCGAATAATCTGCAGGAGTTACCCATTTTTAGGCGGGGTCGCCTATGCACCCCTAATCAGTTGAACGGGAGAATCGATTTTATGTTACCGGGGAATGGATTGAACAGCGACAGACGACGACGAACTCGACGGGCACCTGTTGTTCTTGGTGTCAGCGAACAGTTCACGCCCGCGGGAGCGATTTGTGGAGGAGAAAGCAAAGCAGTAAAATCCCCGATCGGATTTCTGCCTAAAATATCTGCACGTTCTTCTTATACCTGAAGTGTTTAGAAACCGCGAAGCAGGCTGTGTGATGATCCTGGGAGAGGATTCCGGGACAGAAACCAAGGATGGTAGAAGAATCTGCGGATCTTCCTCGGGAGCCGCAGAAGACTCTTAGACTATGGAGAATAGCATAATATATATAGCATGTATTTTTAGGCGCGTGCTTAATGGCGTCTGGAAAAGGTAGAAGGACAGCCGACATAGCGAGTTTCAGATGGCGACAGAGAGGAGGCTACTGATGGTGCTGTCGTCGAGGACGCTGGGGTGCTGGCGGCCCCCGAGGTTTCCCCTGGAAGCACCGATCTCGTACCAGAGCAGCTGGACGGCGCGGCGGAAGCGGGCGACACGGGCACCGGGGATGTGACCGAGGCGGAAGAGCACCAGAGCCGATGCCCGCCGGAAGACCCGGCATATTCCGTGAAGGTTCCGCGCCAGCGGGAGGCTGAGGTTGAACAGCCAAAATACCGGCAGCAGCTGCCGGAGCAAGTCGAGCACCGGCTTCTTCACCAGTAACGCCACCACTGCATGGACTATCATGTCCTCCTCTCCCTCTCTCTTTCTTTCTCTCTTTCTCTCTATCTATCTATCTATCTATCTATCTCCCTCCCTTTCCCTCTCTCTCTCTCTCTCTCTCTCTCTCTCTCTCTCTCTCCCTCCTCCCTCCCTCCCCCTCTCTCTCTCTCTCTCTCTCTCTCTCTCTCTTTCTCTCTATCTATCTATCTATTTATCTATCTCCCTCCCTTTCCTTCTCTCTCTCTCTTTCTCTCTATCTATCTCTCTTCCTCTCCCTCCCTCTCTTTATCTCTTTCTCTCTATTTATCTATTTATCTATCTCTCTCCCTCTTCCTCCCTCTCTCTCTCTATCTATTTATCTATCTCTCTCTCTCTCTCTTTCTCTCTATCTATCTATCTATCTCTCTCCCTCTTTCTCTTTCTCTCTATTTATTTATCTATTTATTTATCTCTCTCCCTCTCTCTTTCTCTCTATCTATCTCTCTATTTATTTATCTCTCTCCCTCCCTCTCTCTCTCTCTCTCTATTTATTTATATCTCTCCCTCCCTCCCTCTCTCTTATTTATCTCTCTCCTTCCTCCTCTCTCTCTCTCTCTCTTATTTATCTTTCTCCCTCCCTCCCTCCCTCTCTCTCTCTCTCTATCTATCTATTTATCTATCTCTCCCTCCCTCTCTCTCTCTGCCTGATCCCGCTGTTAATATCGAAGTCCAAGTTGTATGTACGGACAAGCTACCTCTCTGCGGCGCGGCAGTAATACCGGGCTTCTCCAGTGAGGATCGCTTGTCGGTTTCCACAGAGCAGGGCCCACGAAAGCCGCCGCCGACCAGTGGGATTATTACCTCCTGGTAAACTGAAACGTTCAAAACTTTTTCCATCCCCCACTCGGGATAAGTCTACGTATCGTCGGATTTGTCGGTAACCGTACGGCGCGCTATGAACACGACCGGAGGGAGGCCTTTAATGAGACAGCCTGCCCTTCACGCCAATATCGTTGTCTCGTGCGAAATATGTCGGCGGGGTGAGCTGATAATAATAAAATGATCCGCATTTCCATCTTAGAAAAAGGCACATTTTTTGGCACGTGTGGAAGGTGGTGACATTAAGCAATCAGTGATAGTTGTTGGCGATACCTTAGCCTACTACTCCCTATGGTACCTAATAATAAGTTGACACGAGGAGTTTCTTAAGGGGCTGACTTACTTATAATCTAAAGTGATCAGGTCAAATCAGTGTGAAAACTTGTGAACTCACCTTTCATATTTACCTGTATGCGTTCAAGGCAGAATCAAACCTTCCTTCCTCTTCTGTTACGATTTTAATTCTAGATTTCCATTCCACATTTGTGGATCTACTGACATAGTTGATCAGCTGCCGTTTATGTATTTAGTTTTGGCTTGAGGGTCAACACCAAGTTTACAAAGAGAAGTCCATTCATTACCCTCAGCTTCAATTTCTAGGTTCTATTTATAGCTTTTTCTCTTAGGGATTGGTAGCTGGCTCACACAATCCTCCCTTTCTCATGCATGCCTCTTCTTTCTCATTAGATCCATTATAAAATAAGAGAAAACATATGAGGACAAAATGACATTTTCTTCCTTCTTGATGAAATTACTTCAATTTTTTTATCCTAGTTTAATCTAGGTGGTGACTAGACTCCATGTGGCCTAAACCTATCTAGGGCTCTTTGACATCATTGGTGGAAACTCACCACTGTCAACATCTTAAAAATTAACTACTTGCCACGTATTGGGCAACCATTGATTGTGTTACTTTATCGCTAAGACAATGCAAATTCTAATAGTGTCGAGACTGAGAAAGAATGAAAGGAGGGGCATTGAACCTAAATGTGACGGCGGGATCGGAGCTACCACGTCAGCAGAGGCTGCCACATCATCATCTTCCACGTCAGTAGAGACTGGCACGTCATCTCTATTATTGATGTGTCATCGTCACGTCAACGACGTTGTTTGGTGAATCCACGCCTACTTTCATTAACTATAAATATCCTTGTAATGACGATTAAAAAAAACAAGAGAGAAGTCAGGAGTTTATATTTAGGGTTGGCCCGCGAAAACCACCGTTGCCCCTGGTCAAGGGGCTGGTCGCGTGGACCACCGTTGCCTCTGGTCAAGGGGCTGGTCGCGAGGACCACCGCCGCTCCCTGTCGGAGCTTGCAGCCCGACGCGACTCCATCACGCGTCCTCCGGGTGCCGCCACCCTTCTCGCCTCCTCCGCTTCACCCCCGATGAGCCACTTCCTACGTCGCCGCGTCGTCCCATTTGCCAGACGCCGCTGCCTCCTTCGTCGTTGCGCTGCTCCCAGTCGCCAGACGCCGCCGTCTGTTGCGCCGCTACCACTCTGCCGAGGCCGAGTTCTCAATGTCTGCCCACTGCAGTGGCTCCCGCCAACGTCGTCGTCGCCTCATCCTCCTGCCTCCGCGGGCGATGCCTCCACCCGCCACAGCTCGCTCGCCGCCTCCGCCGCCTCCCGCCACGGCCCGCACAGCCGCTTCGTCGAGCCCCAGTGTTAAGTAGCGGCCGAAATGCCGGAATTAGGGTTTCGTCGATCCGACCCAGCCAACCTGACCCGCCGGCCCAGCCACCTTGACCATCCCACCCTGCCAACCTGACCCGCAGGCCCAGCCATGACCATCCGACCCGGCCACCTTGACCAGTTGGCCCAGCCAACCAAGACCACACCAGCCCAATAAGCTTATTTATCCTAGCGTCACACCCTTCTGACAGCCCATTATTTAATCTTAGGCCCATCAAGTGACCCAAGTCAGGTCCACCAAGCTTAATCCAGCGGGTTGTCCCACATCAAAATGTATCCATCAACTTTTATTGAATGATTTAAAATTAGAATTTATTTATAATATTATGTCGGTGCATAAAACCAAATTCTTATTATATGTAAATGTTGTGCTATAATGTCCTATGAAAACACTAACCAAGTTTTACACTATAAGGAATGGCAAGCTAAATGTTTAAAATAGTACCATTCAATTGAAATAAGTAGGTAATTAAGGTTTTAAAACTTTTTACAATGGTCTCACGCTTTGAACCTTTTGGATCTAATTTATAATAAGTCATTGACATATAAATAGTTTTAATATAAAAAAATTATTTCAACATACATTATATGTTTTAATAGCCAAACTTTACAATGACTTCAACAATTGTGGTTTTAAAAATTCACAATTAATTTGAAAGTTTAATTCACATACTCTAGAATTTTTTATCATTCATGACCACACTACTAAGATTATGTTTTTTATTGCTAATAGAACTAGATGTTTTAATAATAAAGACCAGTTGGTAAATGTGATTACATTTATTATTTATCAAGCATTAGAAATTTTAATTGTGTCTCAATACTATTTCATATAGTCCACAAATATTACAATAGGTCCATTAAAAGCTAACCATTGAGTTCTTATAGCCTGGTCATAAAAATTATTGTAAATTAACATTTAAAAGTTGAATTGAGAACAGTCTCATGCATCAAAGATGAAGTGAAACCTAACACCAGATTATTCAAACACATTTTGGGTCCAGATTTCTCTCATAGATAGATTTGGAAAGCTATTTAAAAGACAAAAATGATGCAGCATATGACACAAGAGTAATTTTATCTTTAATGAATTTTAAAAAATTAATTAACATTTCATGAGGTTATATAGTTGTCCAAAAAACTATTGAAGCAACTAAATATTGTCCTGAAAGAAGGGTGATGGCTTTCAAGAATCTAAGGGATTTTGATGATGAAGATAGTACATCTAGAGGATAATTTGGTAAATTCATAATAGTGGAGTTATATATTCAGATAATCTACATTGATAATTATCTAGGAAGCTTTCAACTCCAAGGGGAACCCACTCAAGGGAAAACAAGATCAATAGTCATGCTTGAATGATTCAAAAATTAGCTCATTAGTAAATTGGTAAATATTTAAACTTGAAAATGAATAAAATTATGTTAGATAAATACTATTGAAGTACTAATTAGAAAGATAATTGAAAGAGGAACATGATTCAATAAATGATACATCAATTCAAAGGTTCTGATTTATTATGATTTCTGCAAGATTAATGAGAATTTATGGAGTTTAAATTTAAGCATGATGTGCCACACAATGGACCATTGCAATTGAATCTTAGGTGACTCATTTAGGTCCATATTAAAGGGCAGTCCACGTGAAGTAAGAATATGGCAGAGAGAAAGAGACCAAATAAAGGGAGAGAAAATTTCAGAAAAGAGCACCCACATCTTCTTGTGAGGAGTCTAACGAAGACTATTGCATCCTTGATCACCCAAAGGAAATGAAGATAAATTACTGCTCAATACCTTCAATGACTCAACTTTTTTGCTTCATCAATGAGAAATTAAAGGATTAACATTCTTGTAAAGATAGGAGGTGAATGCCAAGATTGACACTCAAGACCTTTCTAAAGCCTCAATATAAAGGAGAGTAGCTCATTCTAATTTTGTTTGGCCCCATAGAGTCATGAATTAGAAGGGAATGAATTTATTCTATCTGACCCCTTGGAGCTAAGAATATGAAAGAGAAGAGCAAGTCTCTTCTATTTGATCATGTAAAGTTGTGAACTTAGAAGAGAAGAATGAGTCTTTGATAACATATGATTCATACATATGAGTATATTTTAGATATTAAATGATGATAGGTTCATATTAAATCACATGTTATCAGCATTAATTCAGTAAATATCAACTTTACTTTCAATGCATGAAAACATTAGAAATTAGTCATTTAATGATTCATTATTAATATATTTATTTAGTTATTATTTATTTTTAAATTTTGGAGTAAAAGTTATACATAATATTTAGATGAACATTTTTTATTTTTTCTGAATTTTTAGAAATTGTCAGAACACATTTGATGAGATTTTGGCTGAGTCAAACTTTAGAGTTTACTAATAGATCACATTACTAAAAATAAATCAAATAATTTAAATGGACTATTGGACTAGCAAAGAAGCATATTTGAAACCTTATAACACCTTTCATAAGTTAAAAATATCAATTTATGAATATCTCAAAATTGATGAGCTTACTAATTAAACAAATTGACAAATTTTAAGCCCTTTTAAATGTTTTAAATCCATTTTGTATAAAGATCCAACACTTCTTATTTTGAGGAGAACATCAAACCCAAATCATAAAACATGAAGATTCATTTTCATACAATAACTAGCCAAGATGTTTCATTTTTACACATTATTAGTCGAAAGTGTTGTACATTAAAATTCCTAATTAGTTCATTGTTGTGCAATATATGTCACATATGCTTGGTTGTGAATTTCTTGAATATATCTGTCAAATTAGATTGATTTTTCATACAATAAGTGACCTTTTTAAATATGCTATTAGTCAAAAGTATAACACATTTTAATTGTTAATTATTTCATTGTTGTGAAATATTTGTCAACTATGTCTTAGTCATTACCACATATATGATTTTTCCTCCAATCACATATGGTGAAATGATACTTCCATATGTTTGAAAAATTCACCTTGAAGTTGTTAGAGTGTCCAATAGGAAGCAATAATGTTCAAGTCAAATATTGGAATACTATACTTAGGCTTGCGAATTTTCTTCTTTTTCTTCCTCTCATGTGTCTATCTCTCCCACCTTTGTAACAAAAGATAAGGATGTTAAGGAAAAATTATGAGGGATACTTACGTGTGCTCTTTTAGGATGATATCATATGGTTATATCAAGCTCAAAATGGTCCTTATTCACCAAGCACATCCTATTTTAGAAGAATGTATCTCTCTCCTTGAAAAGGTAAAACCACAAACCGAAAAGACACCATCAACTCTAGGATACTTCCGCTTCTAAATTTTAAAGGAAACATCGAATTATAAAGAAAGTATCTAAATATGGTGTGCCACATTGTAGTTCTTCAACCTTAGTCCATCTTATGTTGGATTAGTTTCATCAAATCCTTGTAAGTTTGAAATCAATATATCTTCCTTCTAGTGCACTAGGGCCTCAATTAGTAAACAAGTTGAATATCAATTGAGTCCTATGCACCATAACTACTAGTAATGATTGAATTTATTATTTCAAAAAATGAGGTATTGTAACGCTGAATGTTGAGTAGGTTGGTGTCACTTTGTATTCTGATAGCATAGTCAATATCCCTCATTGGAGAAAGTTCTAAGGATAAAATAAATACCACTAAAATTTTAACCTCAAGCATGACATCAGAACTTAGAACCGTGGAATGATTTCGAGCTCACTCACCATGTGTAATTGATGAAACTCCACTATAAGTCACTTCTCTGGCTATAGCTCTCAAGCCGATGATTTTATAGAAATGTTAAACCTACATAGGCTCATCAACCTTGAGAATGATAGTTGTGTTACCCTCAGACAAATCTCATTGTAAGTTGACTCTAATTGACCTCCATTGGACAAACAGACCTCTTTGGTTGTTACTTCTCTATTACATATCTTCTTGTAGAGCTTCATCATACTATGATTTGTTAACCCCATCACTGAGTTGAGCAAAGCCTAATGTGACATCAATTCAAAGGCTTTCTTGTATTTCTACTACTGATCCTTATTGTTTAATGTCTAAAAAATACTTGTATAGACTTCTAGCTTGAGTCAATCCAAAGCACTATAGTAGTTGTGGTTTTAGGTCCCTCTAATTTGTGAACGAGCTTCTAATGTTTGTTCATCAATACTATGCAAGTGCTTATCTTCAAAACTAAATTTAATCGGCCTCCTGTCCAAGAATATGTGTTTGACCACCCTCACTGACTTGTGTTGTCAATTGAGACTTCTCATTTTATTCATACCATCTTCTATCACTGCATTCATATGCCTCATCTCGAGATTTCTTCATATCTGTTCTAACTTGGTACTCATTTTGTTGAAGTCGACTTCCTACTGAGGTCCTCATCTTCCTATGGTTTTATAGTGAACATTATGTTGACATTTGTACTGATCTCAACAAAATATGTCAGTCAGGTTGTCCATCCTCTACAAGTGCCACTACTAATGTTAACTAGTGTAGTGTAGTGAAATGCTCACCTTCCATTTCTTCAGTCTTCTGTTCTTGACGTTCCACCTTTTTGTTTGTGATTTTTGATGTCATTGGATTCTACATGAATGAGGCTCTAGTACCAACTTGATGTGATCCTCAATCTTGAACAACTAACGGTAGAAAGAATACATAAGTTGAAAGAAAATACATGCTGGAATACAAGGTTAACAGCTAGCAAACACAATTTAGAGTTCTGAAAAATCTTAGAATCTAGTGGAGTCCTCCGAGAAAACTTGTGCTCTCTTGTACCCACATCTGGCCCTAAAAACGCTGGATGCCCCCCTTCTCTCCAACCTGAACACCAGTACATCCTCTGTTGATGGGAAAAGACCCCATTGCCCCTTTAGTGGGTTCCTACTGAGTCTGCCCCGAAGGGTTTGTTTGGTCTCTTTGGAGAGAATCCTTGTGTCTACATCTGGATTACACAAGGGCAAATAGGGCCCTAAAATACATCTAACCGCATGAGAGAGAGGTTACCTACCATATAGTAAGACTACACATGGGAAGTAACATAAAGTTAGCAACTTTTAGCATTTACTACATAGGAAAATAGTTGGAAATTTAGAGAAAAATAGAGGGAAAGTGAGAAAGAGAATTCATTTTTTAAGTTGTTGCAGAATAATTCACGTAAAGTATTTTTAATAAACTTCTTCATGGTTTCTTTAAAAGTTAGTAAATTTTATTCTCTAATAATATTAGGTAAATAAGATGGTTGATGTACAGTGCGATGTTCTGAGCCATACACAACGGTGTCCTCGGACACGGTGGCGTAGCGGGGAGCGGCTTCTTTAGATTGGAACTTTCTCGTTTGCGACGTCCTCGGGCTTCGGTGAGCTGTAATAATTCCTCATTTTCTCTCTCTATAGTTGTCATTCCGACCCGCACCTCCCACGTGACCTGACACGACAGCAGCAGTCGTCTTTCCTCTCTCTCTCTCTCTCTAGCTTTTGTCCCTAGCCCACCGACGACAGCTGCTGGCCATTTACCACTCCCTCCCTTAACCCACCGACCTCTCTTTCTCCCTCTCTCTCCTCCCTGAAATCTGCGGCTTCACCGTGGGTTGTCAGAGTTCGTCACCCGACGCTCTCTCTTTTGCCTGCTCTCCTTACCCTCTCTCCCTCCCTTCCTCTTTCCCAGTCTCTCTCTCTCTCTCTCGGTGTTGGGTCGGTGATGGCAGGCTGAGCCAGCCTTCAGACAGTAACTTCCTCAACCCCTCGCAGCCGGAGCCCGGGGGAGACCCTACAATGCCGCCGCCCTTCTTCCGAGTCCGCTACCTCTTCTTCCTGTCCTTCTTCTCCTCGGCATTGGCAGTGACGCCATCCCCTGCCGCCGCCCCAACGGTTGCCCCTGGCGGCTCCGCCGACGCACTTGCCCTCCTGGCGCTCAAGTCCGCCGTCGACCCTGACGGCCGCCTCCCCTTCAACAGGACTCCGCGGTGGCCCTACGCTCATTGCCGATGGGAGGGTGTCCGGTGCTCCACGGTGGCCGGCGAGTGGCGGGTGACCCACCTCGTCCTAGAGGGACTGCATCTCCGCGGTCGATTCCCGGCTGCAGCTCTCGGTAGCCTCGGCCAACTCCGCCTTCTCAGCCTCAAGAATAACTCACTCTCCGGCCCCGTTGGCGACCTCTCCAACCTGACCGACCTCAAGGCCCTCTTCCTCGACCACAACCGCCTCTCCGGTGGATTTCCGCTCTCTATCCTCCTCCTCCGTCGTCTGCGCACGCTCGACCTGTCCCATAATGCCCTCTCTGGTCGCCTCCCCGCCGCCATCGCTTCCGACCTTGCCCGCCTGTACTGCCTCAGACTGGAATTCAACCGCTTCACGGGACCCCTTCCCCCGTTCAACCAGTCCTCCCTCATGGTCCTCAACGTCTCCGGGAATGACTTCTCTGGCCCCATCCCTACCACCGCGATTCTCCTCAGCTTTGACCCGTCGGCCTTCTCCGGTAACCCGGGTCTCTGCGGGAAGGCCGTCAAGAGGGAGTGCCGGAACACTTTCTTCTTCTTCGGGAGCCCCGCCGCCGCTCCCGTTCCGTCGTCGGCTGGACGTCTAATGGGGATTCTCCTACCGGAGGGGGAATCGTCGACTTCTTCACTTTCGGCCACCTGTAAGAAACACAGGAGGATCGCGGCCGCGGTCGGATTTGTCGCCGGTGCTGTTTTGTTGATCGGGCTGGTGGCCCTTTGCGCCGCCGCGAGGAGGAGGCAGAGGAGGGTCTTCCTCCCCCAGAAGATGTCCTCCGCAGCGATGCCGGACGACGCCATGGAAATGTGCCACGCCGACGGCAATACCTGCAATGGCGGCGCAGAGGGAACCACTACCCTGGCCTCGGCAGCGGCAGCGGCCATGATGTCGGAGGAGAAGGTGAAGAGGATGGGGAAGAGCGGCGGGCTGGTGTTCTGCGCAGAAGAGGAGAAGACTTACACGCTGGAGCAGCTGATGAGGGCGTCGGCGGACATGATGGGCCGGGGAAGCGTGGGCACGACCTACAAGGCGGCGTTGACGGATCAGTTGACTGTGAGTGTGAAGCGGGTGGACTCCGGGAAGCTGGCGCCGGGGGGGAGGGAGGTCTTCGAGCGCCACATGGAGGCGGTGGGGCGGCTTCGCCACCCCAACCTCGTTCCCCTGCGGGCATACTTCCAGGCCAAGGAGGAACGCCTCCTTGTCTACGATTACCAGCCCAACGGGAGCCTGTTCTCTCTCATCCACGGCAAGTCCCCCTCTCTCTCTCTCTCTCTTTCTCTCTTTCTCTCTCTTTCTCTGTTTCCCTCTCTTTCTCTCACTAGAGCTCTCTTCACCAGCGCGAAGTTCTACCGTTTTCCGTCGTGAGCGGTGAGAAGGAGACCAAACTGACCCGTGGGCCAGATCACCTGAGGGAATCCACAGTGGCCGGATTTGAATTCAAATCTGGAAATTCTTAGCAGTGACAGCCTGTTTCTCTCTCATCCACTGCTGCCTGCAGACATCTCTCTCTCTCTCTACCCCCATCCCCCGGACTGGCTTGAAACGCCCGCCCTTTGTCTGACAGACGAATGGTTAATTTTCTTGCTCGACGGCGGAACAAATTGGCGGACCCGGAATCAATCTATAGGATTACCTTCTTTGAAATATATGACGGCCGGGATCAGATATTGAGGATCGATCATCTTGTCAGGGTCGAAGTCGGCGCGGTCGAAGCCGTTCCACTGGACCTCCTGCCTGAAGATCGCGGAGGACGTGGCGCAGGGGCTGGCCTACATCCACCAGGCCTCGCGGCTAGTCCACGGCAACATCAGGTCCTCCAACGTCCTCCTCGGCGACGACTTCGAGGCCCGCCTCGTCGACAGCTGCCTCGCGCTGCTCGTCGAGCCCACCGCGGCGGGGGAGGGCGACGCCGCCTACAGGGCCCCGGAGATGCGCGGCTCCGACGGGCGGCTCACCGCCAAGTCGGACATCTACGCCTTCGGGGTACTGATGCTGGAGCTCCTCTCCGGGAAGCCGCCGCCGCCGACGCTGCCGAGCCCCGCCGACGAGCTGCCGGCGTGGGTGCGGTCGGCGAGGGAAGACGACGCTGTGGAGGACGAGAGGGTGATGATGTTGCTCGGCGTCGCCGTCGCCTGCGTCCGGGCTTCGCCCGACAGCCGCCCCACCGCCTGGCAGGTCCTGAGGATGCTTCAGGAGGTGAAGGAGGCCGACGCCGATGACGAAGCTGACGTTGACGCCGCCGGTGGCTCTTAGATTGGTCAACTTTCTGTTCATCCTCGTTGACCAGTAGACCGACAACTTGCTATTCTTGGAAACCCCATCAAGTGAGCTATCAGGTATGTTGTGATAATCTGCGACAAGTGCTCGATAATTCAGATTTTTTAGTTGCTATCACCTCCTTATAGGTCCTTGCATTTTTGTAATCAAGTGGGGACAAATTAAATTGATTAAGATTCTAAAACAGGTCGTCTAGTCTTCTGACGCGGTTACGTCAAGTTCTAGCGAGATAAGTTTGAACTTCAGTGGTCAAAGCTTCTGCAACTCTCTAGCTCACTCTCCTCTCAATGTTTAGAATCTCGGATATAGGCCCAATGTTCATATAGAAATAAGTTGACCTAGCTTGAGCTTACAAAATAATATTTGTATCATTAAACATATGTGATAATTTAGGTAGCATGGCCAACAGGAGTTGGCAATAGTCCTTCTGTCATCATCTGTAACCAATAACCTATTATTCATGCATAAAAATCTATTTTATTTATGTTTTAAAATAGTTTTAAAATGTGCAAGGCCAATACTACAAAGATTTAACTATGCACTAGGTGTGAACTAATTGTTGGCTTTATAGTAATTTTGTTTGATCTTTGAAAAATTGACAAAAAGGTCAACTAGAAATTTTACTAATATTTAAATGGCTAAAAATAATGATGTATATTAATAGCAACATGTTGAAAGAGTCTCATGAAAATAAGATATTGAATGTTGATATTTCTAAATATTTCATATTTTCCATAGGATTTCACTTAGGAGCTCAATGTAGGTCCTAAGGTAGCTAGATGAGTAGCCAAAAGTATGATTGAATGAATTGATGTTTACCTTTTTCTTTGGGTTTCAAATATGTTAGATTGTGTTAAGGTGGGTCTACACACTTTGGGTCAATTGCTTTGGTCAACACATTACGTAAATATCAGCAGACAAAATAGTCTTCAAGAGTGGTTTGGCCTTAGTCCACTTTTACTTACTAAGGGTTATTGTCATTGGTTTTCAATATTCTCTACAGAAAAATAAGCATTTAATTCACATGATCAAATAATTGTTTTGCACAATATATTTCACAGATTTATCTCCCTACATTAGATGAGTCTTGAAGTTAACACAGTATTCTTTGGCTTTCAAATACTTTGGTTAGATTGTGTTAAGGTGGGTCAATACACTTTGAGTCAACTAGCTTGGGCCAACACATTATGTATCCTCATTTTGCTGAGTTTTGGAGGCTTGAGAAAGCTTGAACGTTATAACACATACATTAAAAAGTAATATAATTTTGGCATGAACGAATCAAGCTGATATGTGAGTGTGAGGTGTGTGTTCAAAACTCTTAAAATTCTTTTATCACCCATAAAAGTTTGAGCTTTCTAATTCAAATCATTACATTCAATCAGTTAAATATTTTCTAGGGCGGCCCTTATGTCAACTTATAGAGCACCCTTTAAGATTAGATTGTTGGAACAACTTTTGACCAAATTACTCTCTAGACCCTATCAGAAAATGATCTTCTCATTTTAAAATTGCCAAAACTAATTTAGGATAAATTCGTCACCTGGGGGTAATGAGGTGTAATCATCTGACATTTTTCAGAATGATATATGCTAATCTATGAGACTTCAAGATAGATTCAGGAATATAGAAAGTTGTGAGTCCTGTAGTCAATGTCATTGATGGAAATATTATTCTGTACAATTTCAGGTAGATCATTTGCAACAATTTCTAGGTAATGTGGTTTGATAATTTCTTCACAATATTCTCCCTCATCATATTCAATTGCTATAATGGCATTGGGTGTTGAAACTCTACCATTGTTTGAGTCTAGGGAAGCTTGGTGTAAAAATTAGTTTGAATGAGTTGGCACAGTTTTAGAATAAAAATAAAATTATGGGTCAATAATGAAAGGTAGAAAATCTTCCTAAGATTCAGAATGCATAATAATAGAGATTGATCGATATTTAACATAAAAATAGTGTTTTCAATTTTTTAAAGAATTACCTTGGGAAGGATAACTTCATGACAAGACTCAACTCATAGAAGGTGATAAAAAGGTAGGTTTTCAAATTTAAAGTCATATTAATAGGCTGAAGTCAAAGTATAGGACACCAATTCTATGGTTTCCATTTGATCTCAAAGATTGAAGACCTTGAAAAATTAGAATCATGTATGAGTGAAACAGGAAATAGACAATGATGATGAAATTTTACTCATGGATATAAGATCAAAGGGTAACTTTTAATCAAAACTATTGCATACTATTCCTATTGGTTGGGCTCTAGGACTGAATAGAATTGACTGTTGGAAGTTCTAATGGACTAGAAAATTCAGATTTTGATGGAATAGAATTGTAATATGAAAATTAGTCTTCTTATTTTCTATTTCATTGATCACTAGCATATATACTTGTATCATCGCCCTCAGCTATCTAAGAAATAGATTCTAAATATTTTTAAATTTATGATATGTATTTTTTTCTATATTTTTACTTGTCAAAACTCTGTTGTTCTGGATCAGAAATAGAGTCAACACACTATTTTTCTATTCATACATTTATTCAATGTAAACAACAGTAAAAAGTGAACATCATTCATCAATCATTATATAATTTCCAATTCATAAGGAAACTCATTCAATTAATAATTTCAAAAAAAATCCAAACTGATTTTATTTAAACTTTGTGAATAATTTCTGAATTTAGAGATCTAAGTTTAAGCTACATACCTCCTTTTCTGCTACACATCCTAATTTATCTTCTAAGATTGATAAATTTTCTATTTTTAAATGCTTAGTGAAAATATTAACTAATTAAAATTCAGCATCAATAAGATTAGGATAATATCATGTATATTTACGTGATCTTTGATAAAATATTTTTTAATGTCATTTTATTTTGTCTTAGAATAAATCATTAGATTTTTAGCTAAGTTAATTGTACTGCTATTCTCGCACATTATTGAATTTCTTTCTAGATCAATCTTATAATCCATTAGCTAATATTTAATTCAGTAAATTCGTGCACAATATAATTTGGTTTGCTATATATTCAGCTCCAAACGATTGATAAGGCAACCATTGCCCATCTCTTAGATACTCAAAAGGTAAGGCATCCACCCAGAATCAAGCACTGGCAATTGGTATTTTTTCTGTCAATTAGATTTTAGGTGGAATGAGAATCACTCTAATCGCTAGATTCATTTCACACTAGCTTGAAAAGTAAAATTTAAAATTATCTGTACATGTTATAAATCTAAAAGTTATTTTCACATAAGTTAGGTGTGATTCTTCATGTCACTTTGAAATCAAGCACATAACCAAGTTTCAAAATAATATCAGGTCTACTTTCTATCAAATGTAACAATGATCATATCATTCTTTTACTTTTTTTGATATGTTAGTTTTCTATTACTGTCAAACTCTGTTTATCTTTCTATTCATAGGTCTTTTCTTTACTTTTCCTTCTAGAAATATCATATTTCCTAAAAAATATATAATATATTTTAATTGAGATATGAATATTCCATCTTTTAACTATTTGATTAATAATCTTAGAAAATAGCTAAGTTCACCCTTGGTACTCATCTGAAATAGTTTTAAATTTTCAATTTATATCTGGTTTGGATACTATTCCTAACATCCCCAAAAATATGACATATTTCATGACTCTTGACATTTTTCCATTTTACTAAAAGAGTCTTATTTTCTGAATTTTATTCTAATTTTTAGAGCATCACATCATCATCATCATTACTTGAAATTTTTATGAAATTTAGCTTCTAATAATTTTTCATCATCCTCAAGAAAAATATAATTTCAGTTTCCCCCACAATTTCCTCCACAATTTCCTCCACAATTTCCACGATTTCCATTAGTATGGTCTTATAAATATCTAATAAAGTTGTATTCTTTATATCAACAGCACTCTTTTTTTGAAATGTCCTAGAACTTGAAATATCATGTGTTATGTCTTTGATCATCACAAAATTGTAAGAAATTTTGATCTTCAAATTCGCAGTCCTCAATTCTTTTTGATTATCAAACTTCTTATAAAAAAAAATTAATTTCTCAAGAGTGCCATCTTTATTTTCTCAGAAAAGTATTGTGAGTCTAAAAAAGTCATATGTTACCACAAATCTATCTTCTCACTAAGGCATGAATAAACCCATGTCTTTAAGGTTATCACTTTTCTTAACTTATTTTCCTCCAATGCATATGTAACAGTCAACATTTTCATCTAGTTTCTTGTTTTTGTATTAGTCCAATTCTAACATCTTAAATGTCTATGCCACAATTTCATCAAAAAATTTAGATTTATTTTAAATCAAGCAAACATTCAAATTTAATAATTCTCATAGGTAAATATGTAATTAATACTTTTCCTTACAAAAAATGGGTATTTTTATAATTTCAAGAATTCAAAACACGACAAAAATTATTATTGAAATTTACCTTCATCTCTTTATCTCATTATTGAAATTAAAATGAGAATAGCTTTATGTGTTAGACCTTTTACTAGCATGGATTTTTCAGTTAAAATATGATCATTAATCTGTATGTTTCCATATCCTAACTTTCTGCCTTTACATTATCTTCAAATGTTACTTTGCCTCCCTTTTATATGAGTGAGATAAGTCTCCTTCTCTCTCCAGTCATACTCCTTGAGCAGCCACTGCCAAGGTACCATAAAACTTCATTTACCCAAATAGACCCCTAAAGAAATAACATTTATTTTAGATGAGGGACTCAGACGCAATCTAGACTTATGTCTCTAAATGTTTCTAAAATATTCTTAGGAACTCAGATTTTTTAAAATTTTATTCCCCTAAGAACCTCATTTTCACTCTTGTTTTGTATCCATTTAAATGGGCTAGATGCACTTGAAAATTATTTTTATGTTTCTGTAAAGCAATCTGGTGTATCTAAATTTTTTCTGTGTATTTATAAAGTGTTTTGATGTACATACAGAACAAGAAATATTTATACTTTCGTAA